TATATCATTAATTATACATTTAATTAAATATATTTTTATATTTTTATATTTAACAGTATATAATTTTTTTAATTTTTTATTAAAATAAATATAAAATAAATAATTTATTTAAATATATAATTATATAATATTATCAAATTAAATAAAAATATTAATTAATTTTATAAATATTAAATCCTACCTAACATTAATAAATTATTATATAATTCATCCTATCAGACCCTAAATTTAAAAAGATTATCTTGAGACCTAAGTTATAAAAGATTATCTCGAGGATCCATATCTACATAAAAGCGACTATAGAAAGTAAATGAGACAAGACTGTGCCATACAGAACAGACAGCAAAAGAGTGCGCTGGCAAGGGAAAGCTGGAAAGTGTAAGCAAGAAGGTGATATCCTGCGGAGAAAATTTATTCAACAAAAGGATTTATTAGTCAAAATCAGTCTTTTTATCTTTTGATACTTTTGCCTGGTTTTTTCTTAATTTTTAATTATCTTTCTTCCTGATAAAATTAAATTACGATAAAATGTCGACACATATTTTAATTCTCGGTTAAAAAATTTGAAAAATTGTTGACGGTAAGAGTGATAATGTTTTTCCTTGTTTCCAAGCGCGGAATTTTTCTGATCTCAACCCTTAAACCCTACCAGCCAACCTATCCATCACTGACCTAAAACTGGTCTTTGGCAGGAAACTCGCCTTCCGGATTTGAACGCTAAAGTGCACTTACAGTTAAATTCTCATGCAATTCAATCTTCACACGAGTTGTAAACATCACCATTTTTTATCACCGAGGAAATCACAAGAAACTCACAGTACAATCCAAAAATGGACAACCAAAATCCCCGTACATCCTTCCGGGAAAAATCTGAAGGTCACAAATACTTTGAGAACCTCAATCAACTACGAGCATGAAGCCAATCCGGCACATCTCCCTGTCGTGATTAGGAGGTCTGGTAGGGTTTCTAGGTACTTCTGGAATGGAAATTGCTTGGAATTGGTCGGTGTTGATGGTGACACCTCGTCCTTTTCGTTGGATCTTAGTGACGATTGTTTTCGAGAACTGTTTAGGATGTCCCGTTCAGTTGTTAGGGACTTCTTTATCCCCAAACAAGTGAATGATAATTACGTGAATTATGTGAAATGGAAGTTCTTGCATCGTGTTTTTAGCTCCGCGTTGCAGGTTATTGCTACTCAGGTAAATAGTTGTGTGGCTAGTCGAGTTGATTTTCCATTTTTGAGTCTCCTTGTGAGGGCTTGTGCATTCGATAAACGGTTCCATGTAGGCTGAATTGCACTGAGTTAAACAGCACATGTCCGGATTAACCGGATATCTGTATAACCTTTTTTTTGGCTGGGAAAATATTCACAGTCCTGATTAAAAATCTCAGGCAATGTTTCGGGCCATAGGAATTGGGTACTCTCGGTCACTGCCATCTGCTGCTGCTCTTAACTGGGTCTTGAAAGATGGAGTGGGGAGGCTAAGTAGGTGCATCTACACGGCTACTCTGGCATCTGCTTTTGATACCAATTTGAAGGTAAGGGCTTTTACTATTTTCGAATTGGGCCACTTGTAAAATCCTTTTTGATTCCTTTGCGCATGAAATTTATATCTCAATCTTGAGTTCTTGCAGTTACCACCACTGCATTTGGGAGTTGCACAAAATGACCAAAAATCCCAAAAATATAATAATGTCAAGTGCCACATTTGGTATTGCAAACAGCAAGAATAAGAAATTTTCATAACATATCCATGGCAGTGCTATTTAGAGGTTCAATAAGTTATTGACGTCTTGTTATCATTTTGTAAGAGAGTTAGGTTCTCAACATCGGTTCTCTTCAGTTTGAGCATTGGAGTTGAGCTGCTGACTCCTAAGTTTCCACAGTACTTCTTGCTTCTGGCGTCCATAGCGAACATTGCAAAACAAATAAGCCTGGCTTGCTATTTAGCAACTAGTGTAAGGATCAATTCCAAGAATAAGCAGTTAACATTTTTATGTCTCTTCTGTTCCATCAGTTTTTGAATTTTTCATGTATTACATTTATCCAGAGTCCTTACAAAGAGAAGTTTTATCTAATCTTTGCTTCAAGATTAGTTAGTGCTTCAATGTTATTTCTTCTTTTTAATCATCTAAAGTTGGATTATCGTTTTTTATATTAAGTATTGATATTTTCATCCTGCACTGCAGTCCTCCATCAACCGAAGCTTTGCAGTAGCAGATAACCTTGGTGAAGTTTCTGCCAAGGCACAGGTTATTGTCATATCTACTAAGTCATATTGTCTCAGTTTAATATGTTCAGTAGGTATCCTGATCTTTAGTATGAATATTCAGATTCAATCAGTCTGCTTTGACAATCTTGGTCTCGTTCTTGCTGCAGTCCTTAATATGTTGTTCAAGAAGAATCAAAGGTTTCTTTTCTTTCATTTTTGAGAATGGTATCTTAAAATTTTGCATCTTTTCTTTGTTTTTTGGGATACAATTTAAAATTTGTGAGTGTGTGGTAAATTTCTTAAATTCTGCTTATCTCTAATTTTCGAGCTGTTAATTGAAAGTTTATGTCTCACTCTTTATTGATTAAGCTTCTTTATGCTGGATATATATGGAAGCTAAAGCTAGTATATTTCCTGACTTGTTATTGACTTTGCAAGATTGCTAGCAGGTTTGCCTTTCATTGTCTACCCCTTATTTGCTGCCATTGATCTTTTCGGAATATATCAAGGGCTTAAGCATGTTCATTTGCAAACATTCACCAAGGTAAGTTATTGTTTCTCTTCTTTTAGTGGTAAAAGAAATATTATTGGGAAGAGGAGAAAAAAGTACAATGGAGGAAAAGAAATACTCCTAAAACAACAAAAAGAATGGAAACAAAAGAGAAACACAAAAGCAACATTGTGACCTAGGCCTTTTGCAAAATAGCCAAAGAAATATCCCTAGAGAAACCATGACCCTTTGCCCACAAAGAAACAAAAAGAGAAAAGAAATCTCTCACATGGTAAGGAGGGATAAGCACAATGATCCTCTAATATGACACTCCAACCACATTGCACGTGAACCAACAGAGATATATTCTCCACAAAGCACCCAATTTTCATTATTTTGCTTGTCTTATGGAACATAGAATGGAAAACTCAAGGTAAGGGTCCACATGAATCTTTGAAGGACCTCTGAGACTGAAGCCTCCAACCCACCTCACAATGCTAAGGAGGCTATGGGACTTTATCATCATGAGACACATAAATAAGTAGATATGGGGAAAGGGGACAGGTCTACAAACTTGCAACTGGCATCGGTACTCAGCCACACTTTCAGTTTCCCTCAATTTGTGCAACTCCCCAATCAATTACTCCCTACTGGAAGCCCATAATGCAGTTGGTAGAACTGCTTAAATTTTGGCAAAGACAAGAGGCTGGTCAAGCTCCAATTTGAGGAACCACAAGTGTGCTTCGAATTGCAGATGGAAGGAGGCCACGGACACTTTTTCCTTGTCAGCGGTTAACTGGTGGCGGAAGAAGTGTTCATATCTGCCCAACCAGGGTAGAGATTGCCAGAACCATTCAAAGGGGGAAAGTTCAGTTTGCTGTAACGAGGTAGAAAGGGGTGCTTAGCATGCTGCTCATGGTTCATGGCTACTGCAGGTTCACATTAGGTGCGGAGGTGCGTGTGCAGGCTGGCGCAGTGCTCAGGGAGAGGTTTGCTTGTGTTGGATATTTTCTTCCTTGTGCAGGTCGTGTGCCCTTGTGCGGCGCAACTGCTGGTGCTCCATCTTGCTGCTTCCTCCATCGGAGTCTGTCTAGGCAGTTTTGGCAAATAATTCCTCCAATCTTCCTGCTAAAATTTAAAGTTTGAGTTACCTACATATCTATCTTCTTTAGAAGCCTGAACGAATTTCTCAAACGTAAAATGCAATTTCTTCATATGATTGGCTCTGATACAAATTTTGTAGGGTCCCTACTGACGGATCTCGTTATGGGACGGTGAACAATGAAATCAGTAAGAAGAGAAACATTCTTTTTGGTTTTTTTCCTTTACCTGTTCTTAGATTAAAATTAATAGCTCATTTGAGAGAGAATCCTACAATCTCTAAAGTAAGGAAGTATTCTACTTGAAATAATTCTTCATACAAAATCCGTCCTTGAAGAAGACAGACCGTTTTAACATCACAGAAGCAGTTAATTCTTGAAATAATTTTCTATCATTGCTATTCTGCTCCCCTTTCCTTAAAAAAGCTCAATCTTCCATATTACAATATCTCCTACAACTACTCACATGCAATGCATGATTTTGACGCTTACATACTCACATATAACCTACATAATTAGTACGCTACTATTTTATTTTTTGTTTTTTCTTTGATACACCCTTGCGAAAGGAACTATTTGTAATGAAGTTTACATACATGAGGAATCCGAGGTACAGATTCTGCTATCAGATTGTGGAGAAACAATAAAAGGGGCTCAAGTATTCGTTTTTTTTTTTGGATAAGAAGAAAATTTATCTAGATAGACAAAAATTGGAGGATAAGACATCCTCCTAAGCATTACAAGGCTCAAGGATATTAATTAAATAAACCATATAATCAGATTTTTGATCATTAAGATTCTTGAAGAAAAAGAAATTCCAAGAGAGATATGTCCATCAAAATGATTGAGAAGTGACAGATGGTATCTTTATGACTCAAAGAAATCCTATGGAGGGAAGGGAAAAGATTAGCAAGATGAAGATTGCCAACCAAGAGATTTTACTAAAGCAAAATATTGGATGTATCATAACCAACTTCAAATGAGTAAGAGAAATAAAAAGATCAGAGTTGCAAAATGGCTCTCTAGTGGCTCTGTTGAATATAATATTTTATTATTTTAGTTTACTATTTAATTAGTTGGTATTATATAATTAAAATTTTACTAGAATAGTAATCTCATGTAATTAGAATTTTAGTAAAATAATTATTTCTTAATTAATATGTTAAAAATTGTATAAATACCTTAAGTATGACAATTTAAAGGGTGAGAATAAAATTATTATTTTTTCTCCAAAATTTACATGATATCAAAGTAGCATAAGAGTATTTTGGGTTTTACATTTAGGGTTTCTGTCAAACCCTAGAACAACAAAAAGAATCTGAGTAGAAAGAGAGGCAGATCAGGGGAGGAGAGGAAAGATCAGAAGAAGGGAGAAAACAGTTGGTTCCTTTCTCCACTGCGCGCAGAGTCGCGCAAAGAGTAACTAGTTTCTTCCTTCACTGCGCGCAGAGCCGCGCAACTCAGTTCCTTTTTCCACCGTGCACAGAGAAGCGAAGAAGCTTCGGTTTTCTTCTTCTTCAGTCGTGCGCAGAGCTGCGCGACCTAGTTCATTCTTCCACCACACGTAGAGACGCACGAAGAGCCCTCGGTTTCTTTCTTCTTCAGCTACATGCAAAGCCATGCGACCACCTCCGGTTCCTTCTTCCCCTGCACGCAGAGACGCGCGAAGATACAATCGTCCCAGCTTTTTCTTCCGCCACGCGCAGAGATACGCAAATAGTTGCACGATCCAGTTTCACTTCCGCCGCGCGCAGAGCCACACATGGAAGCTTTTCTGGCCGCGATCTGCTTCTTTTTCTTGCCATCGTGTACTGCAGGTCTCCCTGAGCCGAGGAAGTCGTTGAGCTGTGCCTAGGAAACCGTTGAGCCGAGCAGATTTTAGCCTGAGCCGAGCCACTATACCAAGTCGAGCCGATTTTTAGTCCGAGCCAAACCATTTTTGAGTTGAGCCGTTTTTTAGCTGAGCCATTTTTGAGCCGAGCCGTTTTTTAGCCAAATCGAGTCAAGTAGAGTTGTTTTTGAGCCGAGGCGAGTCGAGTTGTTTTTGAGCTGAGCCGAGCTGGACAGCCAGAAAGATTTGATTTCAGTATTTTTCTATCTTTTTTTGGCTATTTTGGTGCAGATTAAAAGGTTTGCTTTCCATTATTGGATATTTTCTTCTTATGTTTAGCACTCTAAAATGACAAAAGTAAAAAAAGTGATGGTTTTTTATTCGGATAACATCTCATAATAAATCAGTTCTATAAAACTTGATGGAATTAATTATTTTGCTTGGTCAAGATTTTATTTATTATTTATCAAAGTTAGAGGATTACAGGGATACATTATAGGTGATATGAAGAAACTAGATGTAGGTGATTTAGAATATAATAGATGGGACTCTGAAAATTCTTTGGTAATGTCTTGCCTAATCAATTCTATGCAACCCAATATTGCACGAACATATTTATTATTCGATATTTCACTAAAAATACGGAATGCAACATCTTATACATATTTACAAGTGAATAATGATGCTCAAATTTATAAATTGCGAAATAAAGTTTATAGCACAAAGTAAGGAGAGATGACTATTTCATAATATTTTTTTGAACTGAGTGAATTATGACAGAAATTAGATTACTATCAAAATTTTCAGGCAGATTGTGCTGTAAATACAGTCAAATTTCAAAAATTAATAGAAAAAGAGCGAATTTATGATTTCTTAGTTGGTTTGAATACCGAATATGATCAAATACGGGTTCAGGTGCTTGGTAAGGATCATTTTCCTTCATTAGAATAAATTTATGCTTATGTCCAGTAAAAAAAAAGTAGAAAGAATGTCATGTTTTACATAGCACCAATTGAGAAAGCTGAATTAGTTATTCAATCTGAACAATCCAAAGATCTACGGAGGTATGACTATTGTGGCAAGCTAAAACACACTAGAGAAACTTGCACGGAAAGCCAACTAAAGGTCATGAGGGAAAGAATGGTGGACTTACGAGAGCTCAAGAAAATTTAGTTGAGAAAAGTGAAATACTTAATTGAAGTTCTTAGAGAAAATAAACTTCTAATTTTTATTACATATTTTGTTTACATTTAGAAGATATATATACACTGGTTATCCTTATTTTATTTGAACTCTAATTATATGATATAATTATACTATTAGAATTCTAAATAATATAGTATTTTATTTAGTATGAAATCCTTATCAATACTCCCCCTCAAGTTGGCGCAAAGATATCACACATGCCCAACTTGCAAATCAGGTTCTGAAGAGATTTGTTGTATAGTCCTTTAGTGAAAATGTCAGCTATCTGGTCGGCAGAAGATACATGATATAAGCATAGAGAGCCACCAACTACCTTCTCTTTTATAAAGAGTCGATCAATCTCAATGTGTTTTATCATGTCATATTGAATTGGATTATGAGCAATGTTAATTGTTATTTTATTGTTACAAAACATGGATAGTTTCTCATCTTTAAGCAGTTTTAACTCCCTCATTAGCTTTTGCGACCATAGTACTTTACATACTTCTTGGGCCATTGCTTTATATTCTGCATCAGCACTGGAGCAAGCAATCACACTTTGTTTCTTATTTTTTCATGTTACTAAGTTGCCTCCTACAAGTGTGCAGTAACCTGTAGTTGATCTTTTATCATCTAGGGACCCAGCCCAATCGGCATCTGTAAATACTTCTAATTTAAGGTGAACATGCTTAGAAAAGAGCAGACCTTTTCGTGGTGCACACTTCAGGTATCGTAATATGCAGAAGATAATATATAAATGAATCTCATGAGGTTCATGCATGTATTGGCTTACAAGATTAGCTGCATATGCTATATCAGGTCTGGTATGTGAGAGATAAATGGGTCTTCCAACTAGTTTCTGGTATTTTCTCAAGTCAACTGATATACCACTACCTGCTTGCAATTTGTAGCTGCTCTCAATAGGTGATTCTGTCGGCTTGCAACCCATTATACCAATATCTTTTATTAAGTTTAGGATATACTTTTTTTGAGAAATGAAGATCTCTTTTTTGATTTGGCAACTTCAATCCCCAAGAAGTATTACAAATTTTCTAAATCTTTTATTTCAAACTCTTGAGTAAGAAATTCCTTCAACCGAGCCATCTCCTTTGTATCATCTTCAGTCACCACAATATCATCCACATAAATAATGAGAAAAGTGACCTTACTCTCACGATGTTTAATAAATAAGGTATGATCCGCATTGTTTTGTTGATATCCAAAAGAGATCATAATTGTTCTAAATCTTTCAAACCATGCTCTTAGAGACTGTGTTAATCCATATAAGGTTTTTTTTTAACTGACAAACTTTTCCTTGCATCCTCTTATCTTCAAATCCAAGTGGAATTTTCATGTACACCTCTTCCTCTAAGTCTCCATGGAGGAATGCATTTTTTACATCAAACTGCTGTAAATCCCAATTAAGGTTAGCTGCGCAAGACAAAAGTATTCTAATTATGTTCATCTTCGCAACAGGTGCAAATGTCCCTGATAGTCAATCCCACAAGTTTGACTAAATTCTTTAGCCACCAATCTAGTTTTGTATCTTTCGATCGATCCGTCTGCTTTGTGTTTTATGGTGAACACCCATTTGCAACCAATTATCTTCTTTTTTTGTGGAGGTGAAACAAGTTCTCATGTTTCATTCTTTGTCAATACTCTCATTTTTTCAATCATAGTTTTCTTTCACGTGGGATCTCCTAGAGTTTCTCTCCAATCCTGTGGAATAGACACAGAGGAAACAGACAAAACAAAGGCTCTAGGAGGGAGATATAGTGTCATAGGAAACAAAGTTAGATATAAGCTGCTTAGTGCAAGTTCTCGTTTCCTTTCTAATAGCAATACGTTTATCTGATAAATCACAAGAGAAAGATAATTCACCAGTATCTTCTGGAACCAAAGAAAATTCTTGATTTGAGACAGACTGCATGATGACTTTTTCAGACTTTTCTCTCCTTAAATACCTTTTCAAATCTTATTTATCTAGACGTTCAACATTATTTTTTTGATTAAGACTTTATGTAATAGAATTCTCACTCTGAATATGATTCTTAATCGTTACCCAATTAGGTATCACTTCTTTCTTCTCACTCTCATCCTGAAGAGGTGTTGGGTTTGAATTGAAGTAAGACTCATTCTCCCTAAAGGTAACATACATTATTACAAAGTATTTTCTACATGGTGGATGATAACACTTATAGCATTTTTTAGTAGAAAAATATCCAACAAATACACATTTAAGAGTTTTAGGTTCTAGTTTATTTACATTTCTAACATGAATAAAGCACACACATTCAAACACTTTTGGGAGAACAGTGTAGAAATATTTTCCTTACAAACTTCAATAGGACTTTTAAAATTCAAGATTCGCAAAGACATTCTATATATAAGATAAACAGCTGAGGTAACTGTATCTCCCTAGTAACTCTTTGGTAGATTCATGTGAACATTAGTAACCGAGCTACCTCTAGTATGTGTCTGTTTTTTCTTTCAGTAACCCTATTTTATTCACTAGTGTAGGCACAGATTGTTTGATGAATTATCTCATTTGACTCTAAGTAGGCATAAAACTCACTATTCATATATTCTGTACCATTGTCAGTTCGCAGAATTTTAACTTTAGTACTAAACTGTGTACATATCATTTTGTGAAAAGATTGAAAATATGAAAATATATCACATTTTGCTTTTAAAAAATAAATCCATATTAATCAAGTACAACAGTCAATAAAAGTAATAAAACATCTTTGACTAGAAAGAGATGTATTATGAATAGATCCCCATACATCAGAGTGAATAGTCATAAAAGGATTAGTACTTCTATTATTACTTAAATGATAAGAGTTTATCTTATGTTTAGCAAGTTCGCATACATCATAAAATAAATACTCCATAGAATGGTTGTAATATCTCCATATTGACTTCTTTATTCCCGATGGTTGCTTGATTTCCAATTAAGTTCAGATGTCTATCCAAGATATATAAGCCATCTTGCAGTTTACCAGTGTCAATCCTCTTCCCTGTTTGAAGATTCTGAAAGATGCAATAATTAGGAAAAAATTCAATTTTACAGTTGAGATCTCTAGTTATGGTACTAATAGATAAAATATTATCAGAAAAACTAGACACATATAAAACTGAAGACAGTGTAATAGTAGTAGTACAGTTAATGGAATCTGTTCTCGACACGGGGGTGTATGAACCATCTGCTATACGGACATTATCCTCTTCAGTACAAGAAAAATAGGTTAAGAATTTTTTAGAAGAGATTGTCATGTGTCTGTTAGCTCTAGAATCTATGATCCAATTATCAGGAGTGGAAACAGAATGAATAATACCTGATTTTACCATATTTGGTGTGCCAACAGTTGATAGAGAGTTAAGTAGACTTAGAAGGCGCTTTCGATTTTGAATTTCTTCTGTGGAAAATGCTCTAACGGATGGTGAATTAAGTGTTTTGTAACGACCCTGCAAACTCCAAATGTGATAAATTATAAATTTAGTGCGAAAGCGAAACAATAAATTAAGGTTTACATCCCTTAGACAATAACTGAAAGTACCAGATAGGGCTTATGAGACTAATCTTTCTAAAAGAACAACTAATAACCAAAGAAATAAATTGAAAGTAAACAAATAGAATGTTTTACTCGCAACCCTCTTGTGGATCGAGTTCTGAATCCTGGTACTTTTGATCTGAAATTGTTAATGAAAGAATGAGTTACACTAACCCAGTAAGAATATTACGCTACTCACCGACATAGAAATGAAGGTTGGTAGAAATCATAAAAATAAATAATAGAGCTCTTAAATTAAGCAAATTCGTTTATTATAAGTAAAATCATTTACCACATACTTACTATAGTAAGATTTTCAAAAATAACCTATAGAGTTAATAACATAAAACATATCATAATTTCATATGCAATCAGTCGAAATAACAACTTTTCCTTTTTCTTTTAATTTCCAGTTTCCCAATTCATCATAGTCACACAAAACAAGTAGAACATGCATAAAAGGAATACAATCGCATTATCATACCAATTTCAGTGTATTATCATGCACTCAAAAATTGTAAAATCAGGCAATCGGTTAAATATAGTAAACAATAATAAATAACCGGTTCCGGCTCAATTAGTAACTTGTAATTAATTATGAATGTTTTCTAAGTTTCACAAAATAGCATATTATTTAAAATTAAATTTCAATTCCATAATAGAGAATAAAGTGAGAGATTCTTACTCAAATTGATGTTCGAAATGCTAAACTTTTGATTGCATCTACGGGCGGTACCCGGGTTTCTTGAATTTTCTTCGGGGATTAAAACGCGCTTTAAGTACCTAGAAATATCCCAAAAAACTCAAAATCAGTGTTAGGAACATTTTTTGGTCAATTCCAAAATTTCGGCACGGCGACTTCGTCGTATTCTGGCTATGGCAGTTTGCCTCAGATCGGCTGTTTTCGGCCGGTTTTGTACCAATCCCTGCGATAAAATACGTTAAGGGGTCTCGGTAAGCCGAACAAAATCAAAAAACCAAAACTTACCTGCGGTAGGGTTCTTCAATGCGGCGGCTCCGCCGACTCACATCGCTGTTGGGTGTTTTGCTTCGGCCAACATGTAGAGAAGGAAACAACGATTAAAATGGTGGAAGAATTACGCAAAACGGGAATCGAAAAGGGTATCATCGGAGGCGATTTTTGCATTTTTTCGCGGCGGCGCCACCAGGCTTTACCCATAGTTTTTGGCCAATCCGCCGGTTCTTTTCCTCCAATTTGGCTATGGAAGTGTTTAAAATCGAATTTTGAGCAAATGAAAATTTTTTTACCTCTTTTAGCGGTCGGAAGTGGCTCCAGCACGGCCGCAGCGGCGGTCGGCTTCTTTCTCGGCGGCTGGGTCTTCTTCTTCGGGGGGGGGGGGGGAGGGGTCTTTAGGGTTTTGTGTGAAAATGGTTATTT